AGTATAGAATGGAATCTTGTCAAAAAGAAGTGTCCTTCGCCTGCCTCATTCTCCCATTACTGCACTTTGGACAATCATGATCAGTAAAGTCTCCTAGCACCCCTTCTTTTATAGCCATTTGCATATCTCGTCTTTTGGCTTGCTGCAATAGTATAAATGTCATCTAGTGGAATTCCAGTTGTTAGAATGGAAATGGTTGCCAATTTGCCTTTGGATCACGTGATGTATGAGTGGTTGTGACCTATGTAACCACATTCTGAGACGCAACCTGTGATGTAAACATAGTAAAATGGCCACTTTGCTTGGGACCGGTAAAATGTAATCTACACGAAGATCGCTAGCTTCATATAGTCCTACTTTATTAGCTCAAAGTAATTTTTGTCCGATTTTTCAAAGCCTGCTGTATGTATTGTCATTGCTGCTGACTTCATCCCATAAGTCCTGTTCATGACTCTTCTGCATTAGAGATATATCCAGTTACATGCTCTGTTAAAGAAAGACTCCTCTCAGCTGTGTATTGCTAGTCCATCTTTGCACACCACATTTTCAACAGTAAAGGATTGTAGTCCTTGACTCAAACTTCTTTTTCATCTCATTTCAAATAATATATTTCAAGCTATATTTAACATCATTAATGCAAATACTATCTCTTGACTAGTCTACGAAAATCAAATCGACATCTAGATATATAGGTCATGCTGCCTTTAATATTTTGTTTCCAGTGTTTCCTGCACTTGTGCATTTGTTATTTCATTACCAAAAAAATTAAATAAGGCAACATATTACTACCTGGTTTATGACAGGTATTTCTATTTTTTATGAAAGAACAGACTTCTTCTGGAAGATTGATGTTGAGAACAGGAGCATTTTCAATCCATAGGAGGATGTGATATTGAGGCGCTCTACGCATTTGATATTCTTTTTTCACATAAGATTGCTCTACTTTGCCTAGAACACCTCTCTGGAGAATAACTAAGTTACAGATTTGTATAAAAATTCTCACGATACCAAAACAGGGTCCACAGTACATGATCTAGAAATACTATATGATTGTGGAGCATTATTTGCTTTTCTTATACATTTCGCTATATCAGCTGAATCGTATTCAGCAAAACTTAATGTTAGAAGTGTTGGAGAGCCATGCACAGCAATCTTTGCTTTGACTACACCTTCACACAGAACCAATATTGATTTGTACCGAGCCAACATGCTCTCAAATTCTTTATTTTACACATTAATTTTTTCTAACATTTCAGCAACAGTTTGACCAACGTTGCCCCTTAATGTTTTTAATAATATATATATGCCAGTTTTTAAGGCCTTATTAATTTTTAATCCGTAACAGTGCAAACAATATGAAAGATTTCTACGAAATTGGGAATTTTTGTTTAACATGCTTAATTATTTATTTACAAAATGATAAAGTTTGTGGTGGATAGTTTTGTCTGGGATGATCCTCTCCACAATGTCCAGTTGGAAATAAAGTATGAAGGCATAACAAATCAAGGTGCTCTTGCCTAGTGTCTATAGCCCTTTTTTAAATTGATTAAACTATTTTGACTGATATCAGAACCTGTTGCAATTTTACTAACAAGATTTCCAATCGTATATGCCAAAAGGCCTAGTAAATCTTGATGTTTTGCTTCTTCAAGCAATTTACAATTAGTACTGCCAACTACTTAAGATGATTTGTCAATCAAATCATCATCTACGTTTCAATAAAGCCTATTTATTTCTTTTAATTTTCTTCACGCTGCTTTTAATTCATTTACATCAACTAAATTACGCCAGACATTATTTGATTTTGTAGGCTGTCCATTAATAATATAAAGTTCTGGATTAGGCGAATGATTAAAATCTATACCAACCTCATTTAAAGTTTCCATTGCTTCTTCTAATGGAAGGAGTAAATAAAACATTGCACCCTTAAGAGCCTTCAAACAATTATAGGCAGGCACTTTTAAGGTTTGTGTTCCTAGCCTAACTATTGGCTTCAAACATTTGGCGCTCTATATTAACTGGCAACTTAAAGGATCCAAATTTTCCAATTCTTTGGGTAGTGGCTCACACTTCAACCCATTGAGTACACAGCGTGCTGCAACTTCAAATTATAGGATTACAATGATTGCAAATATACATAACTTTACTTAATGCCGTAGAATCATTCTCTGTAATGTAATCTAACAGGATGTTCCAAACATTGCTATCTAAATTTTTAGCTTCAGTGATACTTTTTTCTTAAAAGTTTCTCATAGCTACAACAAGCATTAATAGCCTGATCAGACAAGGCTTTCTTAAATTCATGAATAAAATCTGAATACTGAAAATAAAGTACAGTATTGAAGTTTGGTTTTCTTAATGGGTCATCTTCACTATATAATGCACATTATCAAATTCAGTTTCATCTGCTTCACTGATTTATAATTTTAGCAGTTGTGCTATATTGCCTTCAGGAAGAGAAGAATCAATATATGTTGTTAAATGGGCATTTCTAGCAACATAAAAGTGTTTCAAAAGGCGTCTCAAAAAAGGATAACGCAAAATAAGCAGCATACTTTTACATTCAGTATCACTACTACTACACAAAATAAGATGGCCTATCCTTTTACAAACAATTTCTATATATTCAAAATATTTTTCAACATTATTTTCGTCCTTTTTAACAATTATCATTACATTTGGGTTATCACAGAAATCCTGTTCGTGGACTTGATCTATTTCTTCAACATGTAGAGATCTTTCATATAATGATTATTAAGATAATTATCACATGCATTTTAATGCTTCTTCAATTCTTTAATGGGTTCATCAAAATATTGCCTAACTTCAATAATAGAACGTCACTTTCTAATAAAGGCTTGCACCTGTCTGTACAGTGCCATTTGAGGGTAGGCTTTATCTTATTACAATACATCCTATTATTATCGAAATTGTCATCTTCAGAGTCACTATCATCATTACATTCTTCTACTCTATCAATACATGATACATTAACAATCCTGTTACATAACCGATGCCATAAGTACCAACAGGGATTGCCAATTGGGCAGTGTATTTGGCCGACAGAATCATCCATTAGGATACAAATATGCTGATTCATTAAAATAAGGCTCTGTGTGGCATAGTTCACCAAAATGACTAAAGCTATTTAACTTCATTTTCTGAATGCTATTTGATGCACGTAACAATACGCTGACTCTTAGGAATCTGTTTTTCAAAACTGATTCTAACAATACACTTGATGCAGCATTATATGTACTGTCATATGATATGTTCTCAAAATCGAAATGTTTCATACTTGATGGCAATGAATTATTAACAATTTCGGGGCTGTATGATAATATTTACTTAATTTTTGAATAATAATATTGCTTTGCTTCACTATTTGGTGCAAGTAGTGACTGATTAGAATGCAATTTATGTAGTAATTGATCATAATTACATTTGTAATAATCTTTATTTAGATGCCTCTCATTTTCATTATTTAATGGTATTCTTAACATCATTATCAGATAATTGTGACCCGATATGAAAAAACCAGGCTATCTGCGGGAATTATCATTTTGAGCTATGGGCTCATAATCACAAAAAATATTTACCTGGGCGAAATTTATTTTATCACATAAACATGTTATATAAACAAAATCCTTTCATTTGATACCAAAATCAGGGGTAGCGAAGCCTTCTTTGCCGTGTTATAAACCCTTCGACATTTTTACCTTGATTGTGCATGGAGAATGTTACAAGGAGCGACCACGGAATAAAAACGGAGGGCTTTAATGCGTCATTAGGTAACCATGGAGTCTCTATAGCAACTATTTAAAGTATAACAAAGACAAAGAAGACTACTTTTGAAACTATGGCTACAGAAAGAGACATTGCTCGCTTGTTAAATGAAGAAATAGGTCCTCGAGACAGTGACTACGTTGCTTTAGTTCTTGGGGACTACTTTTGTGATGAAACTAGTGGTAAGCTTATTCATAACACTGTTTACATACTAACTGTGAATTGCGGTTAGCTATCACAACAATAACATTCTATCACCTGTATAAATGCATAATATTATTATATTAAACTTAGTTATACAGTGTATTTGTTAATTGATAGAGACAGACTATGACGCAGTAGAAGATATGGAAGGAGAGGTAGAGGAAGGGAAAGAAGAGAATGGGACAAAAGATTGTGATGAAGATATTAATCCACCACTGTTTGATCCTGAGGTGGCTGTGGAGCTACGAGTATCAGATCTTGATTTAGAATCAGCGACGCCTGACGCTCTAGATACTTCAACTACTCACTCTTGTGATGACATGAGGACGGAAGATCTATCAAAGTTCTTTGAACATGGATGTGGTTGCTCAGATAATTGCTATGCACCGTTCAGTCACTCTTACATAAAAACATATAGATGTGACATACAAGCCATGGCAAAGCCTGTGCAAGAATATGCTATTATGAGTCGAATGGCAGCAACATCTACCATGGGGGGATTGTCGACTGGCAACCACAGGAGACAGAAAGAGAGAAAGAGGCAATTTTTTTACATTCATGCATCAAGGTCAAAAGGTTTGTAACTATGAATAACACTACACAAAATTAATTGTTTTTCAATTAGATATGTAGAGTAACATTTCTGAAGCTACATGCATGTGGCAAAAGCAGGTTTGAGGAAATCATGAAAAACTACAGAATGAATGGATTAATACCAAGGTATGAGACATACAAATTAAATGTTATGTATTTAACTTTATTAGAGTTCACGGAAATGCTGGAAAGACACCAAACCATGCTTTGACTTATGATGATATTCTCCGGGTTGTTGCTTTCATCAGAAATTACGCTGAAGTCCATGGAATCAGTCTTCCTGGAAGAATACCTGTAATGAAAAGTTACGAGAATAAGAAGTACCATGCAGTACATCTAAAAGGCAGGTATACTTAGAGTATGCGGAATCATGTGAAGGGCTTTATGTCAAAGCATGTGCTGAAACAACATTCAACATGTTGTGGGGACGCTACCTGCCTTATATTGAAAAAATGAAGCCTATGTCTGACTTGTGTGCCACTTGTAAAGAGATAAGTGGACTGATTATAAGAAGTGCTAACATGCAATCAGATGAAAGGATAACTTTGGTAAGTCAGTGTTGTAATAATACAAGTATTATTTAGAATTTTCAGGCAATGCAAAAGGCGCTAGATCACATAAGTCTTGTTGAAAAGGAAAGGGAGTACTATAAGGATGTATTAAAAGAGGCACAATTATTGTTAAAAGGGCTGTATACTGATGCAGCAAACAATTACAATCCCCCACTAACAAGGCCACTTGCTATGTTAAATATTGTAGCACATTATAGCTTCGATTATGCTCAACAGGTAACATTTTATGATAATTATGAAAGTGTATCTAGCTCACTTACTTTTTTAAAGGTTCACTATCCTTCAAGTCCACGACAAGCAGGTCCAATTTATTTTCTTACTCCCAGGAAATGTGGCATATTCGGTGTGTGCTGTGAAGCTATCCCTCAGCAGGTTAATTTCTTGATCAATGAATCATTCGACACTGGTAAAGGGGCAAATCCTGTCATAAGCATGGTACATTTTTATTTGAAGAATCATGGCCTCAACTCAGTCAGTATCCATTTCAATGCTGACAACTGCACAGGGCAAAATAAAAATAATACAGTTATTCAAGTACGTATATTACATGCACAATAATGAACATTTTAAATGTAATTTTTATTTATTTAAGTACCTCTTATGGAGAGTCATGACAGGACTCAGTGCGTCCATTTCAATATCTTTTCTGCCAGTTGGACACAAAATTTTCTCCTGACTGGTGCTTTGGACTATTAAAGCAAAAATTCCGTAAAGCAGAGGTGGACTCATTGGATGACTTCATTCAAGTTATAGAACAATCATCTGCTGTGAACAAAGCCCAACCAGTAGGAAGTAGCAATGGTGAACTCAATGTAGAAACACTTGACTGGTGTAGTTACTTTGCTACATTATTCAAGAAAATAAAAGGCATCAAAGGCTTTCAACACTTTGTTGTAAATGCGACCTCACCTGGTGTAGTTGCAGCCAGACAAGCTGTAGATGGCCCAGTCACACAATTCAATTTGCTGAAGGAGGACACTCAAATAATGGAAGATGAACTACCTAATATATTACCACAAAAGGGTATGTCAACTGAAAGGAAATGGTACCTTTACAAAAAGATAAGACCATTTTGCAGATACAAATGTAAAGATGTGACCTGCCCACTTCCTGATGCACCTCGACTAACACGATCATCTCGACAATCAACTTCAGGTGTAGATGATCCACCAGACCTCGCAATGGAGATTGAAGTACCACATTCTCCAAGGCAATCTCTAGAACCACCTGCAACACAGAAAATGTGGTAATTGTGGTCAATTTGGTCATAATAGAAGAACTTGTCCATGTAATCAGTAAATGAATAACAGAAATGAGTTTGTGTAATGCACATACTATTGATCCCCTTTCAACAGGAGAGGAACTAGTTTGTCTACAACAAACAGACTATTGATCCCCTGAAACAGGAGTGGAACTAGTTTGAATGCCAAATATTCAAACTATTGATCCCCTAAAGGAGAGGAACTCGTTTGTAACGCTAAGACATAAAAACTATGGATCCCCTTTTTTGAAAACAAAGGTGTGGAACTAGTATGTGCATGAGACGTCAACATAAACATAAACACTCATTTTTGTTTAAAACTTACTAACTCAAAAGAGAAGGCCCGAGAGAAAGTTAGTCACGAAGTTATCATGCAGGTGATTTGTGTTTATCTGTACAGGTGAGAGGACTGATGATAAAAATGCGTGGGAGGAGAATACCGAAATAGAAGTTATTGCGTCATTCACAGCGAATCAAAGAACACCAAGTGTCACCTGTGACCTTTAGGATATAACACCTGAAACTGTAAGTTCAAAATCAAAAAGTAATGGCTGCCCCAATAGAGGATGTCCTCATTGAGGTCCATCCATCTGATGGTAAGTTGGGAATGTGTAACCCTATAGTGATAACTATAATGCCTTTTGTTTTAGATAGATGAACTTGGTAAGTTGTTGGTACATGTATGTTTGTGTTGTACATTAAAAGCAAAAAATGTATTTATAGCAGAAAAAGATGAAGTAAGGGTGAAAGAGACGAAAGAGAGGACAGAGGAGAAGGAAGACAGAGACAAAGAGGAGAGTGGAGATAGTCAAAAGGAGAATGGTAAGATTAAAAGGTGAAACATACAACTATACATGACATTGTTTTTAATAGAATCAAACGGCTTAACTAAGTTTATTTACATGTGTAATTGTGTGATAATTTTTGTTGTGAAGTAGCTATGAGAAGGACTATTAAGCTAAAAAGTAATTTTGCATTCAATTTTAGTTAGTTCTATTTACAACAATTAGGCAAGAAGAAAGAAGGAAGGCCCTTAGGTAATTAAACAATAGTGGAATTACTTGTACTTTCAATTCACATTTCTTAACTAAAGGC